GGCCTTGGGTTCAATCCCCAACAGAGAGAGAGAGAGAGTGGGAGAGAGACAGAGAGAGAGAGAGAGAGAGAGAGAGAGAGAGAGAGAGAGAGAGAGAAAGGGAAAGGAAAAAAGAGAAAAAGGAAGGAAGGGAAAGAAGAAGGCAAGGAGAAAGGCAGGAAGGAAGGAAAGAAGGAAGAGAGAAAAATATCCATTTTAAATTCCTCCTAGGCTATAACTATATTGATGATTATTATTCTATGCTGCTATCAGAAAGCTACTGCAAACAACTGTTTAGCATAGTAAGTCTAAAATAATAGGAAAACCTTAAATTTCCGAGTGTGAGATACACAAGTGTCACAAATAAAATTCACTTACTTTTTAAAGATGACAAACCACTTGTTCCACCAAAAAGAGAGCGGGTGGCAGAGCTGCCTGAGCCTCCTGGAGGGGGGACCAGCATCACCAAGTACGTGCCACAGGTGTAGATGGGCGTCTTCCGTAGCATCTTTAGAGGTAGCCCACAGCTAGTGTTTGCTGAGAAAAAGAATAAAAATGCTGAGTAAAAATACCTGCCACATACTTTACTTTGATTACTAAAGCAGATTAGGGTATAATGAGGGAGCCCTAAACTTAAATAAAGATGTATTCCAATGAGGAAGAGAGAGCATGAAGTAATAAATATAGAAAAAAGTAATTATCTTCTGGCTCCAGAGCCTGACCCTGAGCCTCTCCTTATATGGTCTGACCATTTCTTGAAGATGTTCCCAAAAATCAATAGGTTCTCATGACTCGAAAAATCCTTCAAAAGAATAAATCCTCACATGGACTAAATCTGAAAATAAAAGAATCCTGTTTGTGTTTCCTTTAGGAAATGGATACTCTATTCAAAAGATTTTTCTTCATTTTAATTAGAACAAATTATTGACAGGTTTGTGATATTCCATTTCTTTTGTTTGTTTGTTTGGTACCAGGGATCGAACTCAGGACCTTGCGCTTGCAAGGCAGGCACTGGAACCACTGAGCTAAATCCCTGGCCCTTTTTCTTTTTTTAATGGATTAATTTTATTGGTACATTTTAGGTATACAATATGCTGACATTCATCATTGGGAATTTGTACCTGCACATGATGTATCTTGGTTCTTATTCTAATATTTCATTTATTACAAACAGCTTTGAACATGAAGTCAAGCAGAAGTTTCAAACTAGTAAAAGCTTTCACAGTATCACCAAATAATTTTATACCTGTATGATTTAGGATAATCCATTATATATATATATTTTTTTAAGGTCAGTGACATAAGAAAATAATTATTGTTTATAATCAAGAAGTATAAACTGTACTTTCATCTCCCTTACTTACTGGCACATGTGAACTGCGGAGTGAATTTGAGGACTTTACCCACTAGCCTAGTTAACAGAAAAGCAAGAACAGTACTGGCCTTGGGAAGCTGTCAGTCTATAAATGAAACGTATTTCTCAGGCCAACACAGATACACATTTTCAGATGGTTTAGATTAGAAAAATGAGTAAAGTTGAACCCTAATCTGTCTGATATTAGTTGTGAATACTTGTGCTTCTAAAGAACTCCATTTTGTAAAAGCCCCCAACAAATGTATTCTTCATTCAGTAACATAAATTTCCATGTAATAAGTCCCTTAAATGGTGAAAAAAAAAAAAAGCCCCAAACGGGCAATTATCAGGACTATTTTAGCAACGTTGTGGGCCTATTTTCACTAAGATTTTTTTTTTTTTTTTTGGTACCGGGGATCAAACTCAGGACCTTGTGCTTGCGGAGGCAGGCGCGGTGCCACTGAGCTAAA